GGGACCTAGGTTCCTGCGTGCTGCCACACAGCTGCTTCCAAATGGGGCCTCTTGGGCCAGGAGGAGGGGACGTGCCCTCCCATGGCAGCCTGGAGCTTGGGACCCCAGCCCTGAGTGAGCCTGTCCCATTAGATTGGATGATGTCCCATGTGGGGCCCCCATGGATGAAGGCCCCTTGGCTGAAAAGAGCACCAGCAACCGGCTGCGGGGGGCACCCTACAAACAGCTAAGGGGACTGCCCTCAGAGTGGCCCTAAAGTTGTGGGCGATGCTGGAGCTGAGGAGCAGGGTGCTGTGCACTCTTGGTCAGTGCTGCACTGGCAGAAGTTGAGGCGGTGGGGGCTGACGCACTTCAGAGCAGTGGGGCAAGGCCAGTGGGAGCTACAAGAGGGCAGACTGAAAGGTCAGCAGAGTGCTTATGCCACGCCCTCGGTGCTCCCCAGGCCCCAGCATCATCGCACTTCCTCGATGAGTTCTCTCCCCCACCCCAGCATCCTAAAACACCTCCCACCTCCTCCTGAGTCTTTCTCATCCTCTTCCACTTCAGGCCACGCCCTCCCGTGTTCAGTCCCTCTCTCCGGCCTCACCCTCATGTGCTCTCCCGCCCCTGCCGCGCCCTCGAGCACGCGCCTCTCCCAGGAGTAGGGGACTGCCGAAGGCCCGCTGGTAGCCCCTTGGAGTGGCCACTGAGCCAGAGTCAGCTCCTGGAATGTCTGGGCTTGAGTCATTGCTCGCTGGCTCTGGGCATGCGTGGATTGCTCCCGTGAGGTCTGGAGTCTGGTTTTGAAGACATGTGAATTTGTCCGGTCAGTGCTGGCACCTACTGACCCCACTGGGTGCCTGTGAGCCAGGTTCCATTGGTAAGCTGCGGGCGCTGCTGCACCAGCCCATGCATCTCATGGTGGCTTAAGGTGACCCCACCCGACTCAGGCTGTAGGGAGCCCAGTGACAGGGGATGCCCACCCACAATGGGCTGTGGTCCTAAGCAGACAGGACCCTTGGCTAGTGGGGCTGCAGGCAGGAGCTTTGGGACACCAGACAAGGGGTCAACATAGTCCCCCCGGGCCGGGAGGTCATGCTGGGGTAGGGAAAGGAGTGGACAGACACATTTACTGGAAACGCAGATATTCGTTCAAGCAGGAAACCGTGCCCCACCGCAAAGAACAGCGGAGACCAGCAGAAGGGTTTGCACCCCACATAGGCTTACCAGGTTCCAGCAGCGCATGTGCCAGGTCCTGATGGCGGAGAGCGGGCTTTGAGGGGAGGGGAGAGGGGGATCTACCCTTTGAGGGGGCAGTAAAAGGTGGACCTGGCCTGGGCAGGTCCAACAGCATGGGCACTGCTCCCTTGGTGCACAAGGCCTCCAGCATGGTGGGGGTAGGCCCAGGACCACCTTCCAACTGTGCCCCACTGTGGGCTAAGCCCCAGGGGTGGGACTGTGGTCTCGGGCCTGGCTCCCAGCACCTCTTCTCCTTCGCAGGTTGAGGCCTTTGGTGTCCACACAGCCAGCCAAGAAGGCCGCCCTCAGAGAGGTGTGTCCTGGTGGTCTGGGGGGTGGGGTGGGTGTGGAGGGGCAGGGAGGGGCCCAGAGGGAAGGGCCCCAGCCATATGATCCCAGCCCAGGCCCTCCCTGGGGGTCTCAGTAATGGCCGCCATGTGTGCCATCCCCAGGTCCGACTGGCCTGGCATTTGTTGGTGGGGCCATGGCCATGCTGACCTGAGACAGCTGGTGTGCAGGGCCATGTGGGCTGTCTGGGATCCCCAGGGTGGTCAGTGTGCCCTCCCCAACTCTCAGGCTGTGCTCCCGAGCCCCACTGCCTCTGGTGCCGAGCTGACGCGGCCTCTGGTCGTCGTGGAGAGCGGACCCGTGGCGTTCCACCCTGACGAGGACGTGGATGAGGACGAGGCCGAGGAGGAGGAGGGCGAGCCCTGCGTGAGCGCCCTGCAGATGATGGGCAGCGACGGTGGGTGGCCCCGGTCATCTGGAGAGGGTGAGGTCGTTCGTCCCCATAATGACTTACAGCCTTAGAGACCCACGGGCCAGCCCTTCCATGTCTTCCAGAGCTGACTCCACAGCAGCAGGTTTGGGCAGAGGGGTTGGGGGGACTGGGCTCCGGGGAAAGGGGAGTTGGGAGGGAAAGGGGGCCTTCACCCTGTGTGACTGTCCCCCATGCTCTGCAGATTATGGCTGTGATGGTGACGATGACGATGGCTACTGACTTGGGGCCCCGCACAGTGGCCAGGCCGCCTCTAGCAGTGGACATGGCCCTCAGCACCCCGGATGTCCGACTGACTAGGCCGCCTCAGCTCACAGGCAGGACAGGCAAGAGACTTGGTGATGAGAGGGGCATCTGCCCGCCTGTCGCCCGCCCACGTGGGACTTTGCTGTTGGATCATGTTTGGAACAATGTAGGGCTGCTTCCACCCAGCACGAAGCTGGACTGGTACTTCGTGTGTTTGGTCACTCAGGCCAGGCAGCCTGCCTGGGTGCCAGCTTAGTCCTGCCCAGGGTCACTGACCACCACCCTTAGGGGCCCAAACACAGGTGACTGACACTGTCCCTGGGCCCCACTACAAGTGCTTCCCCAGGAGCATGGAGAGAGGTCAGGCAGTGTCTTGGCTGGCAGAGTCAGCTCACCCCCACTGGAGGTCGCCCCGTACAGCCTGTGCTAGCTCCATGCGGTGGCGGCACAGCCAGGGGGTCCGGGAGATGCCTCTGACCTAGAACCAGACTCCCTGTCTCTGCAGGGTAGCCATGCAGGTACCCTGAGCTAGATCCCTGCTCTGGGTGGGAACCCAGGGGAAGGAGCGAGGAGCTTCTGTGCCAGTGGGGCCTCTGGCCCTGCTGGAGAGGTGCCCAGGGCACTGTGGGCAGGCCATGCTCCTCTTGGATACCTAGTCCCTGTGCCTGCACCTGCAGCCAGTGGGCCACAAAGCTCCTGGGAGGCTTTGGGCAGGCTGATCTGTGGTGAGCAGTGTTCAGGGGGGGCCATGATGGTGGGAGCAGCTACCTCCCTCCAGGTTAAGCCCTCAGACCCTCACCCCCTTGTAGGCCTTCCTGTAGGGCTGTCTCTGCTCACCACCGTCAGTGCCTGGTTCAGTCCAGCTCTGGCACAGCCTGGGCCCTTTGGAAGGGGTTTTGTGCTGTTCCTATGCCCTGGGACCCCAAGGTGGCTTAAGTGGGTGTGGCCAAGAGGGGCAGGGTATCCCCACTCCTAGGCAGGGACATGGGGTAGATGAACAAATATAGATGGATAAGCTCCAGGAACAGGGGTGGGCATTGCAATGACAAAGGAGCATCTGTGTAGGGGGGCAGGCTCAGGCATGGAAACGAGCCATGTGGGAGAGCAAGCTGGGCACTGGGGTGGAGTGTACCAGGCTCACTGGATTTGGGGAGTTCTGGGAGCAGGTCAGGCATACCCTGGACTTTGTCTCAGCAGCTTCAGTGGCTGGATGAGTCATTTGTGCTGTGTCTGAGGGCCTTCCAGGTGGAGGTAAGGGCAGGCTGTGCAGAGCAGGTACGACCCTCCTGGGCCAGGAGCCTGAGGCCATCAAGCATGGATGCTCCGGGGGGGCCCATCAGAGGCATCGTCACAGGGTGAATTTGGGAAGACAGTGGGCACCCTGTCTTGGACCCTAGGGAGATGAAGTGACCTGACCCGACGCCCAGGGGTCTAGACAGACAGGTGGGTGTAGTCCTGTGAGAAAAGGTGTCCAAACCTCACAGTATGGCTTCCACCACTGTCCTTGGACATGGGTGTCCCCCGGGCACACAGGTGGGTTTGGGCTGTACCTGCAAGCCTCCCTCCTGTGTGAAGGACAACCCCAGCCACAGAAGAGCCTGCTGGGAGTGGATGTGTTCAGCACCTCTGTTTTGACCTTTGCCTATGCAGGCAGCCCTGAACGGGAGGGGAAAGTCCCAGCCCCCTGGGCTACCCCATTATGACCCTGCCTCTCAGCTGTCCTTGTAGAACAAATCCCAGACTACCCGTGCTTCCCAGAGCCCCTCCCAGCCTTGGTCTCTATGGGGTTGAGCCTCTGCACTAGGTAGGATGGGGGGTTGGGTCCAGTGTAGCTCTCAGCTGTTCCCAGGTGGGGCTGCCAAGCTACTCCAGTGCTCCTAGGAAGCCAGGTGCCAGCTGCCCACCCAAGGGGCATCTAGCCCCTTGCCAGAGTATGTGCCCATCTCTGGAAAGGACTCTGGGTAGGGATGGAGGCAGGGCAGAGGGGCTCCTCGAGGAAGCAGCTGCCGGCCTCACGTGGGCACCTTGGACCTGCTCCTGGGGTGTGTCCACTAGGGCATATAATGGTCCACTGGAGTTGGGCTGGGGGGCCCCTAGAGGGTCAGCTCCTTCCATGGTCATTTTTCTCAGCGTCTGACTGGCTGGGCTCCTCTACCCTTCACTGTGGCCTTGCTTGACCCATGGGTACTCATACCTGGGGCTCCAGTCGGCCCAGAGGCATGGGCCGAGCCAGTGTGGAGCCCTGTCCACTGGGAGCCCTGCAATGGCTGAGGGCCATGGAGCAGCTTGAACAAGGAGAACTGTCCCCACTCCCTGCCCCTTGGGCTGGCCCCCAGCGGCCCTGTCTACTCAGCAGCTCCCTGAAGCCTCCTTCTGACCCCTCATGCCACCCACAGCAGGGTCCAGATAAGGCCACCTAAGCGGGCACATGCTGGACAGCCCCAAGGCCAAGCCTAAGGCCCCTTCTATCCCCTGCCCACTGTCCCCACAGGCACCTGGGCCTTCTATGCCCTGACCTCTAGGGGGCAGCACTGTCCCACCCTGGAGGGCCAGGAACTTGGCACCCTTTCTACCCTCTGCTTTCCCAGCCCCCAAGCCCTGTGTCCCCAGCCTGCGGTGGTGGAGGGCTGCTCAGCTGGCCCGGAGCTGAGTGTGCCATGACCTCTGAGAGCTCTCTCGACCCACCTGGGAAGGAGGTCCCATCCCCTGGACCAGCATGCCCACTCAACCTAGGGTTCTAGTCGGGTTTGCGGTACCCTGTCTCGGAACCTACACACACCATTACTCAGGCTGGCTCCGCAGGCACCGTGTGTGTGAAGCACCACCTGGAGGGTGGCAGGCCACTGTCTCCACTTTCCCCTTTTAGGGGTGCAGTTGCCCCTGGACAAGCCCTTGGCGGTTCGTGCAGCATGAGGGGTGGGGCTTGCCCTCAGCATGGCCTCTGTTTGACCCTGGCCAGAGCTGCCCCATGAGGGGCAGCCTCGCATCCGTATCGTTTTGCAGGTGAGCTACAACTGTTCTACACCCGCTGAGAGGGAAGGCGCACCCGTGCAAACCTCAGTGCCTCCCACAGTCCCTCAAGGGGCCTGAAGACTTGCTCACCCAGCAGGACTATGCAGGCCAGATCCAAGTCCTCTGCCCCACCTGGGCTGCCCAGATGCCTGGCACCCCAAGACCTGCCCCCACCATGCATCACCCCTCTAGTCCAAGATACCTCCCATGCCCTGTGGCCCTAGAGAATCCTCCTGGATCCTACCCTGGTGGGACCCCACCCCCAGCCCACTCACAGACTGGCAGGGGTACCCTAGGACTAGTGACTCGGAGGTGAGGACTTGTGGGGCAAAGGAAATGGTTCCAAAAGCTGCCCTCTGGGGTCCTGCCCAGGCCCCGCACCAGCCCAGGTGTCCTCTAGGCTGCCAACACCCACTGGGACCCACTGCTGCAGTAGCACAATGCCCCATTGTGGACACAGAAGGGCCATGATGGCGGTGGGCTGTAGTGGGAGGGGCCTCCCCCCCCCCCCGAAACCGCTCAAGCTCTCACCTTCTGGGCTCCCTGTACAAGGCTTGACCAGCCCGTGCCATCTTGCCATGTGAATCTACGTGCCTGGCTGGTCCCTGGAGGGGGCTGGGCCCAGGCCAGACTGGCAAGGGGTGGGGGCCACAGGGCAGGGTCCAAGGCTGCCCAGGCCCTTCAAAGGCAAAAGGGAGGCTCTTGATGGTTTTCCTGTTGGGAGAGGAAGTCATTGTCCCCTTACAATGAGCAAGGGCAGGGACCCTGTCTAGTGGGACCTTGAACTTTGCTCTCAACCTACATGGTGCCCAGTGCTTGACCCGACCCTCACCCACCACTGACCTGACTTTGCACCTTCCTCCGGGTGGGGGGCGGCAGTATACCTGGAAGAGGCGAGCAGGAGCCTGCTGAGCAGGAGTTGTGAGGGTGGGTCTTGATTACAGATGGGCAGCTAAGCTAGGTCAAGCCAGGCCAGGGAGGACCACATGTCGGCCAGGGGACTGTTGCCTTGGTGGCCCAAGAGCCCTGCTGCCAGCATGCTGGGTTCAGGGTGGGGTGTTTGCCAGGTCCCTCCTTCCAAGTCTCAGAGGTGACCAGCAGCCTGGGCGTCACAGAGAAGCCCATTTCGAGGCCAGAGGGTAGGGCTCAATATGGGGCAACTTCACTGGGGCCAGCAGAATCCAGGTAGTAGCTGCAGGCCCAAGTTCTTTCGGGTCCTGCAGAGCAGTGGCAACCTGAGGCAGCAGGAGAGCTCCCCACAGAAAATGCGGTGGGCATTTCAGGGTGGGCCAGGTGTTGAGGGGACTGACACAGGAGTCAGTTCAGGTACCTAGTAGTTGGGGGCAGTGTATCAGTAGCTTTGTGGGACATGTGGGGGTGGGGTGGTCCCTGGGACGTCCTGGTCCCTGAGTGGCATTCACAATGTGTTGGTGGGCATGGGGAGGGGGTCCTCTTCCTCCCCAACTTCTATCTGTAGGCCCCTAGGCCGGGACGCACTGAACAAGGGTTGGGTTCTTGCAGAGGGTCCCATGACAGATCAAGACATTTGCAGTGGAACATGATGACAGAGCAGGGCCCCACAGGAGGTGGGGGCGTGCCCTGAGGAGGAAGAATAGGCTGCTCTTGAGGCTCAGCAGGTTCAAGCTTATTAGGGGCATGGGTGAGTGAGGAAAAGGGCATGCGGTAGGGCAGCTAGAGCTTTATAATTGGAGGGGGGTAGACTGGCCGGGTCCCTCTGGTGACCCTGAGTGTGGGGAGGTTTGCTTCTTACTGAGGTGATGCCAGTCCCAGGTGAGAAGCAATGGTGAGACTTTGGAGGTGGGGGTGTCCTCGGCCCTGAGGGACCCCAGCATTTCAGAGAATGTGCACAATGTGCCTCAGCCCTGCTGGCTGCTGGCGGGATGATGAGCCAGCTGTGGAGGGCAAGGTGGTTGATGGACAGCAGGATGAAGCTGGAAACAGGGCCATGCTGCCTGCAGGAGGGGCTGCAAGGGCTCAGTCACATGCCAGATGGAGCTCCTGAAATTAGGCCAAGCACCCTGTGAGGCCCCTGTGCAGGCTCCAGGAGTCACCAGGATGGTGCCCAGTGCTGCAGATCTGAGGCATGCTGGCTGCAAAGGGGTCAAGGGCTACTTCTAGGCAAGGGTGGGAAGTCAGCCCTGCCCTTGGCTGTGCTCTGCAGGTACACCTATCCCTTGGCCTCGGGCTGTTCACGACAGCACAGCTGCAGGGTGAGTGGCAGCCAGGCTAGTGCAGGCAGAGACCAGGGTTCTGATGGAGGGCGGGTCCAGCTCAGGAGGTAGGTGGGCTTGAGGATGGTGTACACACCCTGTCCGGAAACTTGGGCCTGATCCTGGTGCTGCAGCTGGTGTGTCACCCCCAAGGGACATCCTCTGGACCAGACCATACAGAATCCTTAGTAATGTTTATCCATTTAACTAGAATAATATGTATATAGTTGTAAATTGCATAAATATATTTCTTAGATTATATGCATACTAAAACGTTTCGTAAAATCTTTCTACATTGAATTACAACTGAGTGGAAGTCTTTGGTTTTTTTCCCCCTTTAATTACTGCCTCGTTCTCAATAAGGTTATTGAAAGGGTTTCACAAATGCTAGTCATCCCAATACTGTAACTGAAATCCCAGAAAGTGTGACACCATTGTTTTCTGCAAAAGTCCAGCTGCTACCCAGCCGCAGCTGTGCTCCTGGGATAGACCAGGTGACGGTGAGCAGTAGTGACAGTTCTGACAAGGGACCTTCCTGCCCTTCCCTAGTCCAGTGGGTTCAAGTGTAACAGCAGCTGCAAGGTTTGCCATACCGGGCAGCATGCTCTGCTGGGGTCCAGGAGTCTGCACCGATTTCAGGGCATCTAGCAACAGCAACATTGTCACGGGCACTTTGTCAAGCCTCTCTTGCTGACACCCCAGCTCTCCAAGCACAGTGTCCTCCAGGCTTGGGGAGGGTGACACCAGTAAGTGTTAACGGAATGGAAGACAGGGCCACCTCAACCTGAGATGCTCTTCACGCCCAGCCTAGCCCCAGGGATCCTGATGCCCCAGCAAGGAAACCAAGTGCACCAGGGAAGAACATGGCTCAACTCACCCCCAATGTACAGGTCTTCCAAACCCGCTGCACAGACCCCATTGAAGTGGAAAGTGCAGAGAGCCACTTCGAGGAGGACTAAGAGCACCTGGCCTGGGCCATAATCTTTTCAGTTGCCTCATGGGCATGTGAGAGCTGGACCATGAATATAGGAGAGTAAGTGGCCATTTGAACAGTGGTGTTGGCCAAGAACGCTGGGTAGACCAGGGGCCACCACAGGCCAGCCCACCAGATTTAGAAGCACAACCAGACTAGGTCCATCCAGACCCCTCATCAGGAAACGGCCAGCACTAGGAATGAGGGGACCCTCAGTATGGTGGGCTGACATTGCAGCCAACGCCTGGGCTCAAGATCATTGCCCATTAAGAAGCTGGCACGGGGCTTTTGTAGGGTTTAGGTCGCTGTGTCTGCTAACAGTTGGGGCTTATCATGCCCCCCAATTCCCAATCCTGGACAGCCAGGTACTGGGACCTTCAGGAAGACACAGGGAGGACACACACACACCACAACATCCCTTTTCCTGATGGCCAGTTTCAACCTGCTCCCTACCAGAGCCCCTGGGGATAGCGGGGTGTCCAGGTGCGCAGAAGCGCCCTGGCAGCAGACTCAGCACTCAACCTAGGCGGGGCCCATCTCCTTTGGAGGTTTGGATTGGGGACCTCAAGAGGGGTGAACCCCTAAGGAAGTGTACTGGGGACCCTGCACAGGTGAGCGCTACATCGCCACCCCGCGTCTGAGGAGCCTGCAGGGATGGTTGCTCCCACGTCCAGAGTCAGCAAGGGCCACGTCCAGCACACTCGGGTCGGGCAGCGCTGCGGTGAATGCAAAGGACGAGCAACAAAGCGCTGACGTCTTGCCGTGGGGCGGGGGGCAAACTCCGAGCACTTTGAGAAGCGCAGCGACCCCCTCCTGTGCGTGGGCGGGGCTGCCGGCTGGCTCGGGGGCGGGGCCCACACCTCTGAGTCCTGGAATTGGGCCGCGGGCGGGGCGGGCGCCGACTCCCCATTGGACCCCGCGGGCTAGGCGGGGCCGGAGGCGGCGGCGGCCTGGCCTCCGCTCGGGTCTTATCAGCGTGGGCAGCTGGTGGCCTGCCCCCGCGCCGAGCGCCCCGGCCCAATTCAATGGCCATTGTCCGCCGGCCTCTTTGTTCAGGAGGCGGCCACTTCCTGCAGGAACCAAGCTAGGGCGGCGGGCAGGAAACGCACCGAGCCTCGGCCAGACGCGGAGGCCAGGCCGGGAGCCCCGCGTGGGGCGGGGAAGCGGGGCGGGGGAGGGAAAGAGGGCTGCCCTGGGTTTCCCGCCCGGTGGGAATCAGAGGTTAGCGTCCGAGACGTCCGGGCGGGTCTTGGTGGCCCAATCTGAAGGGTGGGCGGTAGGAGCCAGGATATCCCCTCCCTGGAGCTGGGGAGTGTACTGGGGACCCTGCACAGGGTCGCAGGAGGTGGGCGATCCCCAGCTCAGCATTGTCCCCACCACCCTCCCTCGTGACATGGGATGACTATTTCAAACAGGGCAAGAACGTGGAAACCCAAACCCACCGTTTGCATTCACCGCAGCGCTGCCCGACCCGAGTGTGCTGGACGTGGCCCTTGCTGACTCTGGACGTGGGAGCAACCATCCCTGCAGGCTCCTCATACAGCATGAGAGCTCTGCCCCCCACCCGGCGCCACCTCTCTGCTCTGTCTCTCTCTCTCTCTCTCTTTCTCTCTCTCACCTGCTCCTGCCCCCATCCCTCTGGTTTATCCCTAATAATGCCCTGTCCCTCTGTGTGCCACCCCACCCCCCAATACACGCTCTCCCTCCCTCTCTATCCTCCTACCCCACCCCCAGCGTCAGACCCAGGGCAGCACCCTAATTGCCCAGCCTCAGTCAGGTGCTCACTCACAGCTGGGAGTGAGGTCATAAGGGAGGGAAAGGTAGACCCCAATACTGGCTGTACCCCAGGCCACCCAAGGCTCGGTCCTCATGAATTCCCTGAGGTGAGGGGACTGCTCACACTGGACCTTGCCTGCCCTGCCCTTATGGGTCCCACTCTAGCAGAAGATGTGCCACCACTCTGGGGACCTCAGCTTGGATGTTCCGGTTGGCCTCTCGCCACATGGCCGTCTCCCTCAGGAGTCTCTATGGTGGGGCCTCTCTCAGATGGGATCAGGTCCCCACTGCAGGAGGGCAACCTCACGGTACCTGACTGGTAACCTCTGCCCCCAACTGCCAAGGACGGAGCCTATGAGTCCACCATCGTGCAAAGAGTCTAGGAGGCAAGGTGCATGGCCCCCCAGTAGCTGAAGGGAGGGTCTGCAGGATGGGTGCAGTGAGACCTCCCACTTCCCTGCCACCCCACAGGCCATGGGCTGAGCACTTCCCACAGCACCCATTACGGGTACCCACCCTGTTCTGCTCCATGGGCCTAGGAAGGTTCCTCCCACCACTCAGCTCCGGGTCCAGGTGGAAGACCATTTGCAGACGAGTGCACCCCAAGAGCCTGCTGAGCACATGGGATTGGCTGGAGCTGGGCCAGAAGCAGGGCATCCAGAAAGGCCCCATCCCAGGACCACGAAGAGCCCCTGGGTGAGATAGGGCACTAAGCAAAGCCTGGCTGGAATGTGGCCCCCTCGTGAGTCCTCTCGAGAGCCAGATGAGCAGTGGGCTGGGGGGGGCGGCTCAGCACTGGTCCTGTGAAGAGGGGAGCTCTGGGAGGCAGGGACACCCCAAAAGGCTGTGTGTCCCCGAAGCAGGATGGACTACTGGCTAGAGTCTGAAGGGGCGGGCAGGCACTTCCTGGGTGATGGAATATGGTGTGAGCCTAGGGACAGGGGTGGTCTGGAGAGCTGCAGCCAGGGACCCAGGGGACACCAAGCACTAAAGCACCCAGGTGGCGGTGGGCCGAGGGCAGCAGGCAGGGCAGCCAGAGGTCTGAGGCTGAAAACCAGAGCTGGTGATGGGCGCTGGACCACAGCGAAGGGATTCTCCCAGCATGCCCTGGGAAGGAACCCAGAGACCATGGCTGCATAGGGGAGCTCGTGGGTGTGGCCGAGGGCCGACCCAGCTGTGCCTGCCTTCACACATCCCCTCCCCAGAGCCCACCCCTCACAGCTCTTCCCAAAGACCTCACGAGAGCCTTCCAGGCCCCCACCCCCACCCCCTGAGTCACTCAGCACTGTCAGCCTCCAGGCTGCCCCTAGCCTTGCCTGCTCAGGGGCAGGGGCGCTGCCGGACTGTGGCCACCTACCAATCCTCTCTGCGCTCTGACCACCCCTGCCTGCGGCTCCCCGCTGACCCTCAGAGACTCCCAGCCCTGTCCCTCACCCCCGCGGGACCATTGGGGGGACCCTCAGTCCTGCAAGGGGGCGGCATGAATCATTCCGCCACCACTACAAACGCAGGAAGCGCCATTCTCTGAGCCGCGGGTTTCCCTAGCGGGAGGGAGCCCAGTCCACGAAGGGCATTGTTCCAGGGGCAGCGCCTTCCTGGGGGGCCGGCTGAGAGTCATGTGCATGGCTCTCCGGGCCCCTGCCCTGAAATGCTTCCTTCTAGACCCAGGGGCGCCTGGAGGGATGGTGGGGCGGAGGCAGGAGAGTCCACAAGGATTGAGGTGATTGGACCCATAGGCCCCTCCCAACCCCCCTGCCCCCCACCAGTGGCACGCACACACAGCGGGGGTGAGCCTTCCCCACAGTACAGAAGTTTCTGAGACTGGATTCGGATATGGCAGCATGCCTGCCACGCCCATGCCTCCTGGGGCCCAGAATGGCAGCTGGCACACAGTAGGTCCTCAGCAAACACATGTTCAACTGTGGAAGGATTCAGAGCAAGGGTCTCATTGCTGCCGGCTTGAAGCCAGAGACATCTGTTGGGAGAGCCGGTGGGTCGTGTAGCCACCCTACAGGGCAGAGAAGAACTATCTCTGTGGGTTTCCCAGGGGTTTCTGAAACTAGCTTTTAACAGAAGTAGAAAGCCTCTTTTTTCTCCCGAGGAGCAGTTGATGGTTTTGAACTGCTGACCTGTGATTTAGCAGCCCAAATCATTATAAACACGATGCCACTAGGGCTCCTGTTCTATCGGAAGGCAGGCAGTGCTAAAAGTCTTAGCTATGTGCCACCACCAAGAGCATCCAAAGAAGCTGTCACTTTTGAGGGACAGGTCCTACAGACTGTCAGGATGGAGAGCATGGAGTTTCAAACTTGAAGGGAAACAAGCGGCCATCTAGCTCAGAAGCAACAAAGTCCACATGGAAGAAGCACACCAGCCTGTGTGATCACGAGGTGCAGAAGGGATCAGTTATCAGGCATCAAGAACAAAAAATCATATAATTGTGTGCTCACCTCCATGATACGATCACTGAAGACAAATGGGTGCATAAGCAAATGTGGCGAAGAAAGCTGATGGTGC